GTATGATCAAATTACATCAAACGAATAAAGCTTGCATCACTTAACAACCACAACTGAATCAGGTTCAGTGCATTTTGGCATAGAGCCCTGTGGCTGCCTTGTTTGCTCAGTTTAAAATGCTAGCAAAAATGAGCACAGAGGGTAGAGGTTTAAGTTGTAAAAATACTGTGTGATAGTCACTGGAGCTCAATGTATGAAATGACGCTTATCTCATATAACAGGATGGCTGAGAAAACCAGAAATGAAAAAGACGCATGAACTGGTTGAACAGTGCGACGAAAAGTGTCAAGCGACGATGCCCACGTCGATAATAAAACTGACCTAGAAGCCCCCTCGCGATCTGTGTACTTGTTAAGTTGGAGATTCGAGCAGGATACTCCTATTACTGTATAGTTAGTTTATTGGAAAGCAAGCGGAAGTTGTTGCAGAGGGGCTGCTCTGAGTCTTGTATTTATTTGTGCCAAGGGAAACGAAGCTGGAGGAGCTTCTAGCCATGGTAGAGACACAAGAAATAGCATAAAATGTGGCTATGCAGTGTTGAAATGACACAGGTTTATCAACACAGGTAACTAAACGACTCCTACGAAAACAGACAAAACCGCGCAGATCATGCACAGGGCTGCGATCTCTCGCCGTTTGGTCGCTAGCTGAGACGACAGACATTTTGCTTTAAGATACTAAAAAAGAAATTCATTGAAAATAACAGATAGTGACCTACCCAGACCCTCTTGACAATAGACAACCAACAACAGAGAGATCAGCAAAGATCATTCGTAATTCAGTCGCGATCGACTTATGACTCATCCCAGAAAGAATTTTGATTTTATGATTAGATATCAGACTCTTCACGGGCATCTGTAATTTACATGAGTAGTATAGCGCGTCTGACTAGCCTGGGTCCGAGTTTGAGTAATAATTTATTCATGCCATGTAGGTACACGTGTTAGGGTTAGGGTTATTAGATAATGATATTCATGACGTGTAGGTACACGAGGGTAAAAATTGATTTACTAATGAACGAGTGTCCAGATCGGTAATAAAGGTCGGTTTGATATATATATGGAACGGTAGCGTAAAATTCATCCATGTGGGATACCTATTTGTGTGATGCGCATGTGCAATCTTCTGATTAAAAATGTACGCATGCGCAATGCTTTAGAGCCAGTCCCTATGTGGTATGAATGTCACGAAATGTCCTATGGCTGGTACTTATGTGGTGTAAGACGTCACAAAATGTTACGTGTGACGTCATCTGCCCAGACTTGCCCACCCAAGCTAAATCCCAAGAGAGATGTTGTCTAAACTTGTCTAGGACTTGCTCAAGAGTTGTCTAGTATTGCTTAAGGCTGTCCGAATCTCTAGGGGTTAGGATTTATTATTTAAAGTGAAGTCGTTGTAAGTAGAAGGAGTCATAAACATGCCTGTTTTTCAATATCCCTACGATTTTACGTGTACATGCAAAACATGTGTCTGCTTACAACGCGTTTCACGTGGGTGGATCATCTTACATCCAATGTATTACTTGGTTGGTTACTGACATCGAGGCTATGACAGAATTTAAGCACTCTTTAAAATGGTATCGCTTACGCCAGAAAAACCGAGGTATTCTTAGAGATTCAGCCAGTCTCCATTACCATGGATTGTGACAGAGCTCTCGAGAGTCCTAGAGAAATTATCTATCGTAGTTATCTCTGCTCCCCATCTCGAGTACAACTTCGATATTGACCAGAGCAAGAAAAAAGGCCGCGCAAGTGTGTTGTTACATCCAATTCCGGGATGGGAGGATCCAAGGCTCAAAAGAAAATTTCCAATCTAAAACGCAAGATTCGTCAGCAAGCATCGAAACATGTTCATTCTTGTAAGGAAAAAGATCTGGAAATACAGGAATTAAAACTAAGGGAAAGACATCATGACATTATATTTCGCGATGCCTTACGATACATTTACCACCCCTATGGAAACCAGAGATGTATCTACTATACCAACTGGGATAAAGAAGTCGCAGATGGTTTCCATTCTGCCTACCACGAAATAGATTACAGATAGAGAGACAAAATGTAAAACCATGTAAAAGTTTATTAATTACAAAAAGTACGCTACGGGTGTTGAATAAAAATGTGTAATATTATAATTGTTTGAATTGTAATTAGTAGTTAACCAAAGATAATCTTCTATAAGGGGTGCTGCTACATCTTCCTCATAATCTACAAAACCCCAACTTATGACTGGTGTGACATTACAAATCTGATTCACAACCATAAAAAAGTGAAATTGGTTAAAAAGTACAACAATTTCATCATCTTCCATATCTAAAAGACACCATAGTGTGAAAAAAAACTCGTCGAGATCCTCCAGAGGGAAATCATCCAAAGGGAATTCATTCTAAAAATGTAAAAAATTTAATTTCATAGTCATTACTTGACCACGTCGTAGCCAACCACTCATACCTATGGAGCTCTCTTTCTTGGATATCATAAAAACAATGTATGAATTGGTTTATGTTATACAGTGAAAGAACACAATTTAAAAAATCAACATCTTGAAAATAAACAGCTAAATTAAAGTTTTCCATGACTGATAATTCAAATTTTAAATTGCTGAAAAACCAATAGAGGGCATCTGTATCCACATAGTTTTGATGTATCTACGAAAGAGAAACCCCATATAAACGAATATGAAAAAGTTGACCATAAAAGTAATTTTGCAGTAATTCCATGGGTATGCGATTACTACCAGGTAGTATTTCAACAAACGGTAACACGGAATTAGGTAAGATATACAAATGTAAATAATGATTCCATAATTGTCTTGGCGTATAAAAACCGTGTCGTTCTTCAGCAACTAATTGTAACCTGAGGTAAAAATTTCTCATAAAACATGCTTGTATTGAAAAATAACATCTGGGAAGAGATCGTTGAAAATGTCTTCGTAAAGAACGAATTAAATAGTATGTGGTAGTCTTTATAATCGGAAATCTAACTAAAAGTCTACAGATTGATTCTTGAGGTATCTATAAAATAGAAAATAAACGTACTCGCATAAATAAATTGCTATGACAATAAGATCGGTTTAATCTTCTTGTTTCGTAGATACCCGCATGTATTCCTAACATATCACTTATTACAGTATTTTCTAAAAGAACATCAAAAAGTAATTGATAATAAAATGTATCGGGAAATAACTGATGCGCTTGAAAAAAACTATTTTGAAATTCCATACAAAATTGCACATGAATCACATAATATTCCAGTCTATTTATTATAATTCTTAGAGCTTGAAAAAGAGCTCTTAAAGAATTTCGAATGAAATTTGTTTCTTGATCAGTCACATAGAGCAAACATAAAGTTGACAGGTAATCATGTGGAGGAATCTGAAATCATTAAAAAAAGTCTAATTGAATTGCTATTGTGTAAAATGTCGTAATAAAAAGAAAAATGAGCTCTCATATAAAATTCAGACTCTCCTACATGTCAATAAAATTTAAAGAGCAAAAAAAAAAAAAAAAGGTTATCTAAAACGTTCACGAAACATATAGTGGCAATAACGAATAGAATCACGATTTGAATGCGCAGGGAAACGCAATTGAAACCTAAAAAATTGGTATAGTACTCTTCTAATGTGATGAAAAAAAGCTACTAAAAACTCAGCGAAAGGAAAGTGTTGAGTCAAAAACAATCTGCGTATATGAGCTGGAACGATTTCATCGATATAGCGTTCAAAATACGTGTTAAAATCTGGAGGTTTATAAATTTCAATTCGAATCAAATCATGTTCCACATCCAGTCTAGTAAGAATATTCCGCATATCGGTGATCAGACGAAGTAAATAATTGCTCATAAACTCATGATCGACGATAAAATACGATGCTTCAAATACGTCATGCATCTAAAGATGAATAGAAAAAAGGTTGTCTTAGTTTTTTAAAATTTTTTTTTTTGAAATGTTCACGCAAACAACGATTCGTAAAATAAAAAACACACACACCTGTTGAATCCTGGCTTCGAGCGCTCCAGGTTGAAGCAATGCTTCCAAATCTTGGATGGCCTGTTGTCTTTGTGCTTCTCTCCTTGCCAAATCCTCGTTTATCGGTGGATTTCTTATTGGATCGATGGCGGCTTGGGCAGCAAATGGTCGTCGGCAGTGTCCACATGCAGCCGATGTATGGACATGTTGCTGGTAACATGCACGGTGAACTCGTCTTGTACAGCATGGTGTCGCTGTAGCATTATACATGTTTACAGTAATTGAAGTCAAACAGATGAAGCAATCGTAGGGCGCTCCGTCTTCTTCGACATCCTGACGTCTTAATCGTCGTGATCTTCTAACAGGAGGCATCTAAAAGAGAAAAGCGAAGTAAAATGTTAAAAAAGCAAATCTAGCAAATAAAAAACGAATCGCAATCACAAACTTACCTTGTGTCACACTTGTAGTTCACGTAGAAGATCACACACACACGTCAAAACTTCTTCTTACTGATAAAGTAGTCAAATCGTAGTCAAAACCTTGAACCAACAGTTGACGCTTCTGCTTTAAACGCAAGTTGAAAAGTGGAAAGCGTTTCAACTACGTTTTCGAATAAAACAGAGCCCCTTAGGGAAAACAATTAAACAAATTTGAAGCTGCCTGAGGCTGCCCAATCCCCTAAGGAAATCGTCGCCAATCAGAGTCGTTGTATACAGCCTGAAAAATTTGAAATTGAAATTTCAGTTGACGCTTCTGCTTTAAACGCAAGTTGAAAAGTGGAAAGCGTTTCAACTACGTTTTCGAATAAAACAGAGCCCCTTAGGGAGAACAATTAAACAAATTTGAAGCTGCCTGAGGCTGCCCAACCCCCTAAGGAAATCGTCGCCAATCAGAGTCGTTGTATACAGCCTGAAAATTTTGAAATTCAAATTCCATAAAAAACTACTACAAAGCTTGCGCCATCATCTCAAAGGCTGCAGATGTAGATGAAGAAGTAGTAAAGTGTGAAGTTGTAGATTGAATTGAGGGATCGAGCGATGGCGAAACGAAAGTTTGACGAAGTGGAATATGGGGATGATGGTATTTCGGATGACTTATTAAACGAAATTGGAGAAGTCTTTGAAAATCAATATGGCAACGATGTGACAGACTCGCAAATGGTTCAATTTGGTCGTGAATTGGATCAACAACAATTAGATGCCCTCGACATTGGTTTGGATGAACACCCTGAGCAAATTGGTGGTGGTATGCCCTTGTTTGAATTTGATTTTCAAAAATTTGGTCTCCCCAAGCGGTGGAAGAAATCAGCGGCGAATCAACAAAGATATCGCGCCACATTAAAACAGAGGCGTAACCCAACAAAGAACGATAATGTGGGAAAAGAAGTCACGGAGGCTTTAGTCAGGTAAGATGATCATGATTTAGTTTCTGTCGTTAAGTAATTGCTACGAGCACTATGAAACAGACATAGATAAAAATCATCATGTGTCTTCGATATACGGAGAAGCTGACCTAGCAATATCAAAACTTGTCTTAGAAATCAAAAATGAAAGAGAAAAAACTGCTAGATCCTTAAGGACCTTTTTTATTTCTTAGATCGATGAAAGAAACACTCCATCGCAAAAAAGTTACCGACCAGTGGCAAAACAAAACATTGAAAGATACAGATGAAGTGTTTTTAAACTTTAAAGCCGAGAAATTTGACCACCATGTACAAACACAACGCTTTACTGTCGGTGAAATCATGAATGGAAATGGCGAAGAGCGATTTGGTGCATATATGAACCAACTGGCCAATCAACTTAACTCGAATGAATCTTTTAGCCCTGAGGATAAGTTCGCCGTCGACCTCACCATCGTGCCAAAACCAAAGGAAGGTGGTAAATCTAAATTAACAAAGGGAAGACATAATATTGAAGATGTTCTCCACAACAAACAATGTGTGTTACCGATTAAAAATTCAGAAGACAACCTTTGCCTTGCAAGAGCCATTTGTCTAACAAAAGCCCACTTGCATAAAGACGATGGTGTAGAGGGAAAGCGTTACTATAAGAATCTTGGAAATAATCCGAATGTGCTCACCCGATGCGCCAAATTCATTCACAAGCAAGCTGGTGTGCCCGAAGGCTCTTGTGGGCGTGCCGAATTAGAAAAGTTTCAACAGTACCTGGCGCCCGACTACCAGTTGAAAGTGATGACCACATGCTATCCATATTGCATTACGTTTCAAGGAAACGTGGAATCGCCAAAGTACATCATCCGCCTCCTGTATCAACCAGAGTACGAAAGCGATATGGGTCATTACCATGGATGTACGTCTTACCTCGGATTCCTGGAAAGATCGTATTTTTGTGACACGTGCAACAAAGGCTTTGACCATGACGACTTCCGCAACCACCCATGCGAGGGCCGTCGCTGTAAAGCATGCAAGCAGACCGAATGTGGTACAAAACCTCACGAACCCTCTCTCCACTGCTCAGCCTGCAACCGCCATTTTTACAGTCAGAACTGCCTCGCCTTACACCGCGCAAAAAACATCTGCATGACCCTAGTACGATGCGGTAACTGTTGCAAACAATTTCAGCCAGACCCCCAACAGCTGCACCGTTGTTACTTTGGAAAATGCTCTAACTGTAAGGAGTACGTGGACCTTAGAGAACACAAATGCTACATTCAACCCATCCCTGAACAAGAAGATTCACCCAAACGGAAAACGAAAGCCAAAATCAAGAAGCATTTAAAAATAAACCCCGAGGCATCCGTGTACGAAGAACCATCCATCTTCGTCTACGCGGACTATGAAGCCATGATCAGCGAAGACGGAACACACCTACCCATTTGCGTCTGCGCTCAAACTTCCGAAAACAACACCTCCTACACGTTTTATGGCGACGATTGCAGTAAACAGTTTCTGGAATTCTTGACGAACCTTACCGAAGATCAGTACAAAGAACCGCGTGAAGTCATCTGCATATTCCATAATTTAAAAGGGTATGATTCCATTTTCATACAGCATCAGCTTGTGATAGAAGGAAGAAAATTCGATTTGATGATTCCTAACGGCACAAAGATGATTTCTCTGGAAGCTGGTAAAATCACATTTAAAGATTCCATGGCTTTTCTTCCCATGGCTCTGTCTGCATTTACCGACACCTTTGGTCTCACCGAGTTGAAAAAAGGCTTCTTCCCACACAAGTTTCATACGCAAGAAAATCGAAGTTATGTGGGTCCGTTACCTGAAGTTTCTTACTATGATCCGGAGGGAATGTCGAGTAAGAAAAAAGAAGAATTCGAAGTGTGGTATAGAGAAGAAGCAGCCAAACAACACCCATTTGATCTCAAAGAAGAACTGCTTGCATACTGTCACTCAGATGTTGCGTTACTGAAAGCTGGATGTCACAAATTCATCCAAGAATTTAAAAGCATCGCCGGTTTCAATCCTATGGAAAAATGCGTTACGATCGCCGCAGCGTGTAACCGTTATTGGAGGAGGAAACATTTACCCTTAGATCTCATAGCAGTAGAACCTTCATCGGGGTGGCGAGGTGCCCGTATGAATCACTCCAAAGCATCTTTGGAATGGTTGATGTGGCAAGAATACAATACCGGAAGTCGAATTCAGCACGCACGTAACGGTGGAGAGTATCGTATCCCTGTTGGCCCTACCTCGTACTTCGTGGATGGTTACGATGCACAGACCCGCACAGTCTACGAATTTTACGGATGCCTCTATCATGGTTGTCGTACCTGTTACACCAATCGCAAACAAATTCCGTTCTGTTCCAATGGGTTGACCGTAGAAGCCTTACGCCAACAGACCAGTCAGAAAATTCAAAAACTCCGCGGTAAAGGGTATCGAGTGGTGGAAATCTGGGGGTGTGAATGGGAGAAAGAGAAGAAAGAAACACCAGCCATTACCGAATTTCTAAAAGATTTGGATATCGTCCCTCCTTTGAACCCAAGAGAAGGTTTTTACGGTGGTAGAACGGGCGCCGCCTGCCTGTACCATAAAGTAAATGAAGAAGAAAGAGAAGAAATCCGCTACATCGACGTAACGTCTGAGTACCCCTACGTAAACAAGTATGGTACGTACCCTGTAGGCCACCCGGACATCTATTTGGAACCAGAGAATCAAGACCCTAGAAGTTACTTTGGCTTGATGACTGTGGACATCACACCACCCGCTGACATGTATAACCCAGTCTTACCTTACCGTCATAAAATTGGAAACTCCTACAAGCTGACCTTCCCGTTATGCCGTAAGTGTGTAGAAATAGAGACACAGAAAGAACACATGCTGGAACGCGACTATCACTGCCCACACAGTGATGAAGAACGAATGTTACGAGGCACCTGGTGTACCCCAGAGATACATAAAGCGATCGAAAAAGGATACCGACTCGTCCGAATTCATGAAGTATGGGACTTCCCGCAGCGTCGAAAAGGTCTGTTCCAGCCGTACGTGGACACCTGGTTAAAAATTAAGCAAGAGAGCGGTGGCTACCCAAACTGGGTGCGGACCGATACTCAAAAAGAAAAATACATTCATTGCTATGAAGAAAAAGAAGGTATCCGACTCGACCCTACCAAGATCGTCAAGAACCCCGGAAGAAAAGCCACGGCTAAACTCATGCTTAACTCCTTCTGGGGGAAATTTGGCCAACAAAACAATAAATCGAAGACCAAACAATGCACGCAACCCTACGAACTCCTAGATCTGCTTGACGACCCTCTCTTCACCGTGACAGACATCCGTATTCTTAATTCCGAAGTAATAGAAGTATCATACAAACGCGATGAAGAAGATCCTTACAAAGGGAGCAATACTAATATTTTCATCGCAGCATTTACCACCTGTTTGGCCCGCCTTAAATTGTACGAATCGTTGGAGAAGTTGGGTGACCGAGTCTTATATTACGATACAGACTCGGTCATATATACATGGAAACCGGGGCAGACAGAAATCGAGCTTGGCGACTACCTCGGCGACATGACCAACGAGCTTGACAATGGCGACTTTATTGTAGAATTCATCTCCGCAGGTGCGAAGAACTATGGGTATCAAACAAAGAATGGTAAAGTGGTGTGCAAAGTAAAGGGATTCTCGCTGAATGTACGTGGTGCCAAACAGCTAAATTACGACATCATCCGCCAAAATATTTTGGATGAGGTTCTTCACCCGTTAGATGAACAAAGAAAAACGCTGGTAGTCAACCCGACCCACTTTGTCAGAAACCCCACTTTGAAAAAAATCAAGACTGAGACTCAGACTAAGTCGTATCAACTCGTGTTCGACAAGCGAGTTTTAGATCATTCGCACGGTTTTAAGTCTTATCCTTACGGATATTCGCGACTGGATGCACAAGATTTGGAGAACATGGACTTGTTGCTTTTATAAAAAAAAAAACAAAACAAAACAAAACAAAAAAAAAACATTGACACTCAAAGCGAACATTTTTTAAATTATTTTTTAAATAAAACAAAGTTTTAAAAAAGTTTTCATGACGTGTTTGTTAATTCTTTAAGTAAACGGTTAATTCTTGAATCCCTTGGGTGACCACTTCCATTTCGGTGAGGCGTACTACTTTTCGTAACTTTTCATAATAATCCCTTCATGTTTCTTCGATTTGTTTTTCTTGAGAAATCATGCATAATTTATATTTGCGGCATCGACATGAATACACTCGCGGCATCTTTAGTGTCTACAACTTAACAAAAAACACTACACTGAACGTTTTCTATGTTGTTCAATATTATCAAGCCATTTCTTTGAAAAATAAGTTCTTTCCTCCACGTTACGTATCATTTCTTTTAATTGGAGTTCTTTTTTATCTTCCCATGTATGATCCGTTTGCGTTTCTTTCTCTTCTTCTTTTCCTGGGCTTCGGTTTTTGGCGGCGGCGGCTTCAGACAGACAGCCTCTGGCTGCCTCTTTTTGGTTAAACATGTTATCTCACTCGTCTAAAATGCATGGTGACTATAGAAGCGCCGTCTGTAAACTGAGCCAAATTATTATTTTCCGACTCACTCATCTGTGTTTCCACCACATCGATGTGATTCTTACGTAACTTGATGTAATGAATCTGCTTGGGTTCGTAATAATAATTTCCTTCCAAGATTGGTTGGTAGTGTATTTGACGTATAAGATCAGTCGTCTGATCTCCCACGCGTACTGGAGCACAAAGCGAGGAATACATATACAAGGTTCGTGGGTAAGGTAAATTTAAGTAGGTACTTCTCTTAGTATTGATAAAGGTCCAGTTCAGATCGCTAAGAAGAAATCTATGATATTTCTCCGCAAATCGGTCTTTCCATGGGATCTCATATCTGTAATACGCCAAACTGGATGTAGTAAGCCTCCTATCATAACTCCACACCGTACCACGTTTGGTCACTGTGAGATTATGCGCCGGTCGTGATACATTACAATTCTCTTCAATAGGACCACTAACAATACGACGATAAGGAACTGTTGTTTTTTTCGTCCAACCAAACAACTCACACATGTCTCGAGGTAACTCAAAATAGAGACCGTCACGAACTTCTTGATGAGTTATATCAGTCGATTTTACCTTGTCTGCTGTTACAGTAATCGTTTCTTTATCCTCATCCGCAATCACTTCAAATTGTGCGCTGTGTCCTGAAGAAAAATGACTCCCAAACGCCGAGCCCATATTCATAATACATTTTAAACGTTCTTCATCAAACAAGGATTTGAGTAAATCGTGAACTGTCTCGATACGATGTTGTTTGATGTCTCCATACGTGACATTGTAAGTCACTTTATGTTGTATATCCCCAGTGGCTACTTTAATTCGTCCTGTGGTTAGCAAGACATCATCGTCTTTTAATCCTTTGAGGTAACTGGACACCTTAGAATCGTGTGGAAGCGAAATACTACTCAATCCCACTTCCCACTCTCCTTCTAAATCGATGCGTTTGTCTAATCGATTTTTCCAAGAATTGTTTTTGTTGTCTGGAAAATATTTCAGACTCCCATCGTTACTGGGTAACGTCAAGTAAAAAGTATCACCTGACATGATGTGCTCTCGATAACGACAAAACTACAAATGAACCGGAGACACACACTGTGTTGCATTTTCACAAGTTTTATTTCATCATTGTAGAGGCGTTACAATTTTGTTTTAAGTTTAGCTTGCATGATTCGCTTCACAATTTGCTCGGTTAAACTCTTCTTGCCTGGAAACTTATCGATTCCGGCTACCATCTTACGATCTGCAATATGTTTGTCAGCGAGTGATTTAGCTTTACTGTAATCAATATCGTGCTGTTTGGCTAATCTATCAAGACGATTAATTCCTGGATCACCACGTTTTAATCGCTTGGCTAATTTTGTACCTGGACCCATATACTGGTATCCGGGCCAATGAAACTCGACACCTAACTTTGAAATCCATTTCTGAATATCAAATTTTCCTCCTCTCTGTCGTTTCCTTTTAGCCTTAACTAGGACGGTTCTTGCCCCTCCCTTTGCCTTTCTTCGACTTTGGCGTTTCGTCATCTTCAAACACTTGATACGGGTCGTAACCTCTCTTTTCCCAAGGTTCCCAGTTACCAAATTCTTTGAGTCGTTCCAACTCCGTGCGATGCTTTTGCGGTGTGGGAACAGGAAGTTTTCGTTTCGTTTTTTGTATCTTTTGGGATGGAGCTGTGAGAAAAGGAATCTTGGACGTTCCCGGTTTCGCAGGGGTGACGTGTTCGTTCTTGATCCCCACAGGTGTGACAGGTTCCCTCTTGAGTGTCATCTGAGGTACGGCGGCTTGTCCCCTCATATTTATGGATTTAATGAGTTCTTTTAACAATCCCTCTTGCAACCCCTCCATGAGATTACCATCATCGTCTCGAGGTGGAGGTTCTACACCACCGGCGATAGGAATCTGTCTCAATTTGTCAGTAAGCTTGCGTTCTTGCATTAACAATTCTTTTACCACAGGTTCTTTTAAAGCAGCAGGAGTAGATGTATCTTCTAATAACAGTTTTGCTTCGGCGGCCACGCGTGCGGCTTTGTCCAGAAGAGTACTTTCAGTAATTTTTCCCTTGTAATAATCTACCAAAGCTCGAAACTCATCGGGTTTCACCATTAAGAACGTCTCCATAATCGCCACAAGGGTTCCACCACACGCATACGCAACCACCGAAACAGTTGAGTTATTGTGAGTCTACACTCGGTTGAATCCTTATAGTCACTGTCGTCGTCGTCGTAGTTGAATTGCAAATCAAACTTTATACCCGTGTCCACTTCGTTTATACCCTCTTGCACGGTGACAGTCATGATCTCTTGAAACACTGACAGAACGCGTCGTTCATACCACTCCAAAAGCTACCGCCTGTTTGATTCACAAGTAATTGACGCCGCTTTCTTAAAGAGTTCCTCCGTTTACCCAACTCTCTCAACATCACTCTATATTTCTTGAGTTTGGCAACGGTGGGCGGTGATAAAGGTATCTTTTTCTTCAACATGTTCAACGTGAATTCACTGACGGCATTGATTTGATCTTTACTAGCGTGAAGTAATTTTTCCATACGACGCTTTCTATTTTTCTCTTGTAAAATAGATTTTAAAAAATCCACATTTCTCTTGAAACTATTAATCATCGCTTTTTCTTTGTAAGAGCTTCTAGGCCTTTTTTAGCCCCAAACGATGCAGCTCCTCCAAGGGCACTTAAACCCAATGCTTTACCTCCAGCAATGAGGGCTGGAATGAGTGCCGCTAATGGTAGGATACCTCCTTTTTGTCTTCTTTTGGTTAGTCTTCTTTTCACTCTTCTTCTCCTTCGGGTTGTGGGCATACTGCGCTTATAACCAGGCATCTTTCTTATTTATTTCTCTCTGTAACAGCGTACACACCCTTCGTGTCGTAACAAGTGACTTAAAAGTCTCGTAGAATCTCTACTTGCAGGGTGTACGTCAAATAACAAATAACCATAGGGTCTGTCCGTACATGCATTATATATATCCATAACAGGTAGCCACTTGGTCGGGTATATCTGTAGCAGTAAGGTGCGCAACGCCACTTTATCTCTAGGATTTTTAAAGGCAATAATGTATTGCGCATTCCTAGAGATGGTTTTGGCATATTTTCCTTGAGGGAACATGTCTTGGCAGAGATAACACACGGTGACATTCATGTGGTGAGAATATTGTGTGAAAAGATTAAGTATTTCTCTGTCATCTCCTCCCTCCGACATGAGATCATCCAAGACAAGAATACCCCCTCGTTTATCTCCAAACCATGTTGTTAAATCGTCGTGGGTAGGCACTCCTTTAAAAAATTCTATGCCATGGCGTTGCATGTCGTCAAACTTATTTTGCCAGGATCCATAACAGTAATGCACGCGGGTCGGTCTTTGGTCAAAGAGGTCTAAATTTTCCAAAAGTAGGTGATGGAGAAAGGTGGTTTTTCCACAACTTGTAGGGCCCACAATCAAAATATTGGAAGGGGATTTGAACGAAAATCCTGGTTCCACACACTTGAACATGATTGCTAAAAGCGAGTTACACAAAAGTGACACGATTTTATTTCATTCCTTTTATTTTATTAACGATTGAATGATGTCTTCTAACATGTCGCCTACTTTATCATCGTTGCCTACATAATCCTTTTTAGAAAACATGGAAAAAAACTCATCCATACTCTTGCGTCTTGCTTTACACATTAAATAAATGATGGCATAGTTTCCACAACTTGCGGTTTTTACAGATTGTAATGCTCGAGTATTTTTACGCACGTAAGGCCATCGGTTTAACCATACAATGAATGGTGTCAGAAATTCATAGGTGGTTAAATCTAAACCATAACTATCTAAAATTTCACAGCTATCGTGTTCGGTCCACACAGCTATCCAGTGTTCCCCAGGTTTGTCTGCAGGGTGGGTATTGACAATGTAAGCTCTCGGTTTCACACGTTCAGGCGACTCGGGTAGTTCGTCACAGGCTAAAGCACTCACAAAGTACTTGCGGAGTTCTGGATCGCTATCCGCTAAAGCGTTGAGTTGATTCGTAGTAAGCCACACAAACTCCATCACTAATGCACTTCCATCGTGGTAGCTCCTTTAATGCCATCAATTTCCATAATGCCTTCATATTCAGCATAAACGATCACCGTTTTCTGACTTGCTTGCCCTGCACATTTAATGTGAATGTTGATGAAGCCTTCATTTTTAGGTAGAAGAACTGGGTCATCGTGTCTTCCATTGGCCACATTGGAAAACGCAAACAGCGTGCAATTTTTTCCATGACCCCAGTCTTTGAATCGCACCATGTTTCCTGCATTTCTGTACAGACAGCCAGTAGCATCCAGAAATCGGTGATAACCCACCAAGTCTTTTTGACCATTAGCCGTGTTGAGTTCCAAAGTCTCATGACGAGCTTTGCTCA